AGAGAGAGAGAGAGAGAGAGAGAGAGAGAGAGAGAGAATGAATGAATGAATGAAAGAGAAAGGAAAGACAAAACGAGAGAGAAGCAAGAAGGAGAACGAGAACACAGCTTTCCTTTCGGCGGAGGATTTTCAAGGAGACCTAGGTTGTCGATGGGGTATCTTACGTTAACGCTAAAAGACTATGCTGGAAGTGCGACTATTGTAATAGTGGCTGTTGGTAATAGTACCAGTAACACTAATGCCAATAGGGGCAATATTGCTACGAAGGACAACGAGGAGCAAGGAGGGCTAGTGTTGCCTGAGAGGTGGTACTAAGTTGCTATTGATAGAATTAATATTGTAATATTGATGCTAGTAGTGGTAAAAATACTTAGTAGTGCCAGTACAGGCGGCCTCAGGAGAAAGTACAGTAATGTAGGTGATAGATCAGGCTGAGTTTTCCAGCATCGATTCTCCATTGGTGACAGCCGGGTAAAATGCTCAAGGCTCTAAGCATTCAACTTCATGCTGTCCAATCTCTTCTCCTATTTCAGGTAAACCTAGCAGTGCAGGAGGGCCGTCTGGGCGCAGCTATGGCCGAACTGGGCGAGGCGCAAGCACAACTGGATGAGAAGCAACGCGAGTTGGACATTGTTCAGGCGGAATATGACAAGGCCATGGGTGAGAAACAGACCCTCATGGATGATGCTGATTCCTGCCGACGAAAGATGTCAAATGCGACGGCCCTGATCAAGGGTCTTGCAGGTCAGACTGCCCAGAATGCCATTTCCAGTGCATTGTATTCAGCCTGCTTTAATGTGCACAAACAATTTTTGCTACTGAAACTAACTCAGTACTTATTATTTGGTTTACGTAGGTGAACGAGTACGATGGACGGAAGCAAGCAAAATGTACCAAGAGCAAATCAATCGACTTGTTGGTGACATCTTGCTGGCCACTGGCTTTCTTTCCTATGCCGGTCCATTTAATCAGGAATTCAGAAATCATCTTAATCAGTGTTGGCGAAAGGAAATGATTAAAACCAGTATCCCTTTCTCAGACGTAAGTATGCTTGTAGTATCTACTTAATACGAACGAAGACTTACGCCTAAATAGAGAAATTCGAATTAACTTTCCCCCTTCGAAATCTCATTCATCCTCATTAACTTTGACATTTATCTATGTTCGGTAACACCTAAGGGTGGGAATAATCTTGATGATGGAACTATTCTCTTCCTCTTCTTCTTCTTCTTGCATGTTCAGACAATCCTTTCTCTCACAAATAATCGCAAATATTGGCATTGAAAATGGGTTCCAGTCCGCTCACCTGAGCTTAAGATAAGTCAGAGTTATTGAGCTCCCTCCTAGACTGCTATCAGTTCCCTACTTACTTTTACTTGTTTAGGACCTCGTTATTGTCAACATGTTTGTTGACACTGCAACCATTGGTACTTGGAATCTTCAAGGCCTACCAAACGATGATCTTTCGATTCAGAACGGTCTCATCGTCACCCGTGCTAGTCGTTTTCCCCTCCTTATCGATCCTCAGGGTCAGGGCAAGGCTTGGATCAAGAAAAAGGAAGCTGAAAACGATCTCAAGGTAAGTTGGCTAACGGTGTCGAAAACTTTGTAAATACAACCTACTGATAATATCTGAGTAAGCTTTTTTCCCACCGATGTTTCATTCAGGTTACAAGGCTTAATCACAAATACTTCCGCAGTCATCTGGAGGACGCGCTGTCCCTGGGTCTTCCTCTGTTGATCGAGGAGGTTGGGGATGAATTGGATCCTGCTTTGGACAATGTCCTCGAAAAGAACTTTATTAAGACAGGCAGCAACTTCAAGGTGAGGGTGGGCGATAAGGAGGTGGACGTGATGAAGACCTTCCAGCTCTACATCAGCACCAAGTTGCCGAACCCTGCCTACACGCCAGAGATCTACGCTCGCACCTCTGTCATCGACTTCACGGTCACCATGAAGGGTCTGGAGGATCAACTTCTTGGGATTGTCATTCTCACTGAGAAACAGGTAGGGGGCAGCACTTTTTCAAGTAAACCCGGAAGGGAGACATGTAGGATGTAAGGTGGTGGTTCAATTATTTTACTGGATTTCCGAGGTTAGACTTTACTGGTACTGGAGGATGGATGAGCGTATGAAGGTATCTACAGGTTGGCTTCCTCAGTTAATGACCTCCGGTGGCGCCCTTCTGCGCTGACCTCCAGGAAAACTGAATCTGGGTCAAAATGCCCAGAGAACTGATTTAAATCGTAGTCAGTGTGTCTACCTTGGGGGACGTGGCACCCGATCGAGGACGTGATTAGTTGATTCATTTATTTGCCAGCCGCCTATGAGGCACCGCGCGAACTAGTACATAACACGGCTAAAGGTCATTCCGGCAGATGTGAGTTAAATGTATAGACTAGCAACAGTTTGGTTTCGGGCTCACTTCAGCAAGTGAAAACCCCAACATTTGTAAGATGGGACCGATGGTAATAGGGTGGGGCGCGTCAGGAGAAAGAAAAATATATAAAAATCTAGAGCGCATAAAAGCAGAAAATAATAGGAACGATTATTTAACCTGATCTATTGTCTGGCAACAAAATAGCATGCGATAAGTAAAAAGAAAAATACAACGAATAGGAGGCAAGAACTGCACAAATTGCGGAACTGCGCTCACCGTCTAATCGATGGCCTGCTGGCTGTGCCCTTGAGCGACTTCCCCTCGCATAATCGCATTGTCTCCAATGTTTTCCTACCAAGTTTGCCAGGAGTACAATCTGCAAATTAATTACCATAGCCACAGCTTAACACTAATTTTTTAAAATGAGCTGTTTACACACTGACACGCTGACACTTTGCTTAAACGAAACCAAAACAGTGCTCCTAAAAGCTCACATTTAAACAAAACTGCCATTACAGGAACTGGAAGCGGAGCGAACAAAGTTGTTGGAAGAGGTGACGGCCAACACACGAAAAGTTAAAGAACTCGAGGACAGCCTGCTGCAGCGTCTAACCTCCACGCAGGGCAGTCTCGTGGATGACGAGTCGCTGATTGAGGTTCTTCGTGTCACCAAGACGACAGCGGAGGACGTGCGCCGCAAGCTTACTATTGCTGCCGACACAGAACTGAAGATTAACACGGCTCGTGAGGAGTATCGACCAATCGCCAGCCGCGGTTCCACACTCTACTTTCTTATCGTGGAAATGAGCATGGTTAATGTCATGTACCAGACCTCCCTGCGTCAGTTCCTCGGACGATTCAACATCTCCATGGCGCGCGCGGAGAAGTCCCTGATGACGCAGAAACGCATCGTCAACATCATTGAGTACCTTACACTGGATGTCTTCCGGTACACAGCACGCGGTCTTTATGAGCGCGACAAGTTCACTCTGACTCTCCTTCTCTCCCTGAAGATCGCCCTTCAACAGCGCAAGATCCGTCCGGAGGAGTTCCAGATTTTCATTAAGGGCAAGTCTCCGTAGCTTGCACGCACACACGCACACAACTGTTTCTGTAACCACGCCTTCCCCATGCCCTCCATCCAGACAGTGAGATATATGAGGGGGTCCCTAAAAAGGCGGATTATTAATCTAATATTGTAATTTTAATTAATGCGTTAATATTTAAAGCAGGGCAGGATTTATTGATATCAATAAATTTCGTGACAGCTTCTGAACTGCATCTTGTCACTGCATGAGGAAGATAACGAGGAGACATAGTACAGTTGGGAATTTCACAGAATTAATGGCATAACAGCAAGGAACGTGGTTCAGTTTTAAAAAAAATCGATAAAGGACAGTGCGGTAAGTCAACGGATGGGAAGTAGTGGGTGAGGGAAGTTAACGAAAAACACTCGGGAATTAAATTAAATGACCAATAACCAGGGCAACTGGAGGTTGACCACATGGTCAAGCTGCTTGCATATGTCGGGTTTCTCCCACAATATGTAGGCAGCTTCCAAATAGTGCAGGGTTCGGTGTGTTCGGGCCCGAAAAAGTACTCCGAACCCTGCTTTGACGTCCACAGGATGACTGCTGTCTAGTAGACGCTTGGTAATAGAGGAGCCTGGTACTCTGTCTTCTTGCTTGAAAAGCCAGTTGGGCAAGTGCTCAGCGGCCCTGGCTACCAGTTGCCTTTGCGTACGCCCAATGTACTTGCATCCACAAGTACATGTGAATTCGTACACAGAGCGACAAGATGCAGTTGAGAAACTGTCGCGAAATTTATTGATATCAATAAATCCTGCCGTTTATGCCTGCTTTAAACTTGTACCGGGGAACAAATGCTTCAAAAATGTGTTAATCGTTTTAATTTAAGGTACTGCCTTTAAAACATTAATCCCCTTCGAATTCCCCCTCCCCCCAATTAGATGATATGCGCCTGCCCCAACGGGGTTACAACGCTGTTCGAAACACCTTTATAGAAAGAAGAAAAAGACGCGATCTCTGGAACGGCAATGGTATTGTTCTGAGCTTTTGGCTTCACACAAGAGGCCGTCGTCAGAGAAGATGAAAAGGCAGCAAACGTTGGCTACGCGTAAATGGGAGTGGGGGAGGGGGCGGCATTTTTGGTTGGTCCATGCTGGTGCCATCTCATAGTGTTTCCCCCTGCACGTGTCCTTGGTGTTATGGCGTGCGACCTTGGCACCTTGTCTTGCGTCCTTGACGTGGCAGCCTGCGTGCCTGGATAGGCGCTGAGCAGTGGTT